CGATTAGGCTTGCTGTGGCCTTTGGCTGTGCCAATCATAGATCTTGCAATAAACACTAGAAATGACTCGTGGATCCCAAATCTCAGTTCTAAAGATTGAAAGATTAAAAGATAGATTATAGTGCAGTAGGGCAAGTCGGCAACCAGGACGTATCTACCAGTACAAGCAATATCCGAGCATTGATGGACGGTGCTATGACGTCCTCTGCTCAACTATATAAAATAGGTATACAGAACACATACCTGCTGGCCGCTAATGGGCCCCTTGGCGTCAGGGGCCTGGAGCGTGTGCCCCGCTCGCCCTGCCCCAGGGCCGGGCCTGGGTGAAACTAGTTTCATACTGGAGAAGGCCAATATTGGCGAGATCAACGACAGCGGCAAGCAGGAACGGGAGCGCCGTGATGCTGGGAAGAAAGCCTCTCAAGCAATGAAACAAGAGGCATAGTGTCTGGCTGCCGAGGCCGCACGCAAGTTCCTCAACGACAAAGTGTTACATAGTGGATTGGTTTCTGGGCGTCAATGGACCAGCACCGACCTGCTCCTTTAGGCCTTGTTTGGATCCGCATGTATTCATCTCAATCCACGTGTGTTGAAGTGGATTGGAGTGGAATTGAACTAAATTCCATTTCATTCCACTCCAACACATGTGGATTGAGGTGGATACACATGCATCCAAACAAGGCCTTAGGGGACTTGATTTAGCCAAGCAGCCCATGATAACACGTTGCTACCACAAGTTGACCTTCCCCTCGCACGCCAGTGCTCCTCAGGTGTCAGGATCTTGTCGCTAGGCAGTGATCTCCTGGACAGTGATACCAATTTGCCAGAGGCCTCCCACCAATCAGCCTTCTTCTGACAATAAGTGAATGTCCACCACTCCCCCATCAGCTAAGCTTTTTGTTTGAATTGTTATGTGTGGGTTGGGGCATGTTGGCCAGGTCTAGAAGCCTATATTTAAACTCATAATTCATTTCATCTCGATATCAATCTAGACTTGCACATTTGGTTCATCTATTCATCATGCCATGGTTTACATACTATATTTGTTGTGTTCATGTGGGTACGAGGATGAAATAAACTGCAAAGGAGTGTTATATTTTGAATCATTTGCAGTGATATAAAGTTGTGTAGCTTGAGGGCCTGGGGCCTGGGGGTAATCGTATTGGATAGGTCTGGAAGCCTGTACAAAACTCATAATTCACTTTATCTTGATATCAATCTGAACTTGCATGTGTGGTTTGTCTTTTGATTATGCTATAGTTTACTCTATTGCATCCATGTGGGCATGAGTATGATAGACTGGAGAGAACTTTTAGATTCTGAAAAATTTACCATATTTAGCTGGTTCCTGATTTTTTTTCTTGTACCTGTTAGAACACGGAACTTTGACGATGCCATGCCAGCAGTCTTTTATAAGTTTTTGCATATGTGGTTAATTTACTTAGCCAAAAACTCTGATTTAGGCTAAATAATTCTAGAGGCTGCTATGCTAACTGCCTGCACTACACATCAAATGCAGGCAGAGTGGATGGCACCAGAAGTACTTCGAAATGAGCCATCAGATGAGAAGTAGGTATTACATGTTGCTCTCTTTGATTCCAAATGGTTTTGTGATTGATGAATGCATTATGCGCTTGTTTTCAGATGTGATGTTTTCAGCTATGGGGTCATATTATGGGAACTCTGTACATTGCTGCAGCCCTGGGAAGGCATGAATCCCATGCAGGTTGTTGGAGCTGTTGGTTTTCAGCAACGACGGCTTGATATTCCAGGCACAGTGGACCCTGCTGTAGCAGAGATAATCAAGAGATGCTGGCAGACGTTAGTATGCTTTAACTTGCTCAACTGCAATGGACTTTTGAAATTATACAATGTTAACTCATATATAAAATTGTTGAGGCATCAGATGTGTAGTTATTTACATTAAATCATAAATTGGTAAAGTTTGTTACGTTATTACTACTGTGAAATTGTCGAAGTAAAGACAACTACTCAGGATTCACATTCAGTTTATGCTTCACTGAATTATCTTTGGAAATTAAAAGACAACTGTGCGAGAAGAGATAAAACAAAATATTTCTTTATTACTTGAAATAACAAGTAAATATTCAGAAAAACTTAATTTCATTCTCTTTAAATTGAACCGTGAACTCCGCCTATGGTGGGGCGCCTTTGGTGTCCCAGCATAGCAGGTCCCAAGCCCTGGTAAAGGAGGAGGGTTGTGTTAGGCGCGGCGAGCCAATGTAAAAACTTAGCCACTTTAATGGAGATGAAACCCAAAAGAAGATGCGACTTTGGCGGAGCTGCACATGAGGAGGGAGATGTGAGTTTGAAAGGTTAAGTAGTGCCTAAGAAGGATACCTTTCGGTGTCTGGGATCGATGCTACAGAGGGATGGAGATATTGATGCAGATGTTAGCCATATAATCAAAGCAGGGTGGATCAAGTGGCGACAAGCTTCTAGCATTCTCTGTGACAAGAGGGTACCACAAGCTAAAAGGCAAGTTTTATAGAACGGCGATTAGACCGGCTATATTGTATGGAGCAGAATGTTGGCCTATAAAGATTCGACATGTTCAACAACTGAGTGTTGCAGAAATGCGTATGTTGCGATGGATTTGTGGTCACACAAGAATGGATTGAGTTCGGAACGATGATATACGTGATCGCCTAGGGGTAGCATCAATTGAAGAAAAGCTTGTCCAACATTGGTTGAGGTGGTTTGTCATGTCCAAAGAAGACCTCCAGAGGCACCAGTGCATTGTGGAGTCTTAAGCTAAGCTAATAATATGAGGAGAGGTAGAGGAAGACCGAAATTGATACGGGGGAGGCAATAAAAAGAGATTTGAAAGCTTGGGATATACCTAGAGATCTATGTTTGAATAGGAGTACTTGGAAAGCAGCTATTGAAGTGACTGAACCATGACTTGGGGTTCTTGGTGGGTTTCAACTCTAGTCTATCCCAACTTACTTGGGACTGAAAGGCTATGTTGTTGTTGTTGTTAAATTGAACCGTGGTATTTTTCTTGTCTTTACCCATCTTTATGCACCTTACTGATTGTCTCAATTATGTTCTGTTTAATGTTCTGTGCAGAGATCCAAGGATGAGACCGTCATTTTCAGAGATCATGGCTTCTTTGAGACCATTGTTAAAAAACATGTCTGCCAACCAACCTAACAGGAAGCGGGCACAGCAACACAGATGATTAAGGATATAGTGGTCAGTATCAGCTGATGACACAAACCAAAAAGAGTGCATTGGTTTGTCTTCCCAGCTTCAAGCAACTGGCCATCTGTAACTATTACCATTGTTTTGTACAGTACGCCAAATGCGTATTTGATGAAGAACAGGTGAAATTTTGGTACTTTTGCCTTCAATGTAGGTCCTCCATTGAAGCCAGCGGAACCTGTCTGTCTGATGAAAGCCAACCCAAATAACACAGATCCATGAAGCCAAAGAAAAGAAAGGGAAAAGGAAACTTGCGAAAGTTGGTGCATAATAGTATTGCAGGCACAAAGGTGTACTGGAGTCAGAAGTTAACATGTAGAACGGGTTCATCGTCTTCTGTTCAGTCAGCCCGTATTTTTGTTAGTCCTCGAACTAATGGCAAAGTATTCCATCTTCAAGGCCCCGTCAAATTGTAATGTTTTGTGATGAAATTGTTGGTTCGCTTGCAGGCCCTTGTGTATATGACGTCTCAATAAATCTGTTGTAATTGACAGTTAGATTACAAAAGAAGAAAAAATATGTCCTTTGTACTTAAAATCATCATTCTTTTCGTGAGGAAAAATGGCAGAGCCTCTATTCTTTCCCTCTTTTATTTTGGTGTGCAATGAATGTCATATTCAGAGTAGAAGACTGATTGAAACTACAACAACTGGTGCACAGTTTTTAAAATACGTTCCCCTTCCCCCTCCTATTGAATACAAAAGAAAATTCTTGCAATTCCTCCTACTCCATTCATGTGCTAGCTGTTCTGGCCATCCAATTCAGTTGCTCCTTGACAAATCTTATGTCTGGATCATAATAATTCATGGAACTTTGGCTGAGATGGCCAAGAGTTGAGATTTGCTTCCAGTTATTTGTACGTTGTCGGTTGTCAAAAACCAATGCTGATTTTAATGTTCACGCAGATGGTTGTAGTCCGGTTGATGGTGCCAAATGTGTTGTAGTCCGGTTGATGGTGCCAAATGTTAACAGCTTGTTTATAGTCCGGTTGAAGCCCTTTTTGGGCTTCAACTTCATGAACAGCTTCTATGGGTGTGCCAAATGTTAACAGCTTGTTTATAGTTAGACCGGTTTAGCTAGTTTGTCCGATCATCAAGATTTGACATCTTGATGTGCTAGTGCTGCGTTGTCCATACGGCAACCGATAAGCACAACTGCACAAGGCAACGCTGTGGCCTTCGTTCCGAAAACAATGCAATTCTATATGTTTTAAAAAATATTATTAAAGATTAGAACTATAAATAGATATACTATCAAAGTATATTTCATAATAAATAAATTATAATTATTTAATCCATAAATATTATATATATATTTTTATTAAAGATAAAATAATTAACTTGTACAAAGTTAGAATTGTACGTTTTTTTTTGCATTTGCATTTGCAGGAGAGTAGGTAAAACGAACCGGGTCCCGAGTCGCGCTCGTTCAGACCCAGACTGGCGAATCGCCAGAAAACCCACCCAGTTGCCCCGCGCAGCGCCCGTCGGCCATCGCGGACGCCGCGCATCTTTCCGACACCACACGGCACAGTGGCACACGCACCCCGCACCGGCCACCGCAGGCCGGACCACGTGCCCTCACGTCTCCCCGGATCCCATCCACCCCAAGCTGGCGAGCTTCCAACGCGCTTTCCCACAGTCCACGGAGCAATAAGCGGCCACGCACGCGGGCCTTCTTCGCCCACACACCAGAAGTCCAGACCAAAGCCCCCAAACCCTCGCTAGCCACTTGCCATCTGATCAACCAGCCAGCCGATCTCAGCGATCCGCCATGGCGACCGCGTACTACGAGAGCTCCAGGCCCCGGGGCGGCCCCGCGGAGGAGGCGGACGACTTCGATGAGTTCGACCCCACGCCGTACGGCGGTGGGTACGACCTCGCCGTCACCTTCGGCCGCCCGCTGCCGCCGTCCGAGGAGACCTGCTACCCGTGCTCGGCGCCCTCCACCTCCTACGACGCGCCGCACTACTCCGCCTCCGAGCCGTCTCCGTACGGCCACCACGCCAAGGCGAAGCCCAACTACGGGTTCCGCCCCCAGCAGGAGCAACAGCCGCCTTACGGATCCAGGCCCGAGCCCCCTGCGGAGGAGGGCGGTGGCTATGGATCTGGCTACGGATCCGGGTATGGTAGGAAGAAGCAGGAGGAGGAGAGCTATGGCTCTGGGTATGGATCTGGGTACGGGAGGAAGCCGCAGGCGCAGGAGAGCTACGGGTCCAGCGGGTACGGCTCTGGCTACGGCGGTCAGGTCCGGCCGGAGGAGAGTTATGGGTCTGGCTACGGGAGGAAGCCACAGGTAGATGAGAGCTACGGATCGGAGTATGGGTCTGGGTACGGATCTGGGCACGGCAGGAAGCCACAGGTTGAGGAGAGCTATGGATCAGGGTACGGCAGCAGGCCGCAGGGTGGGGAGGAGTATGGCAGTGGTGGGTATGGGAGGAAGACTCAGGAGGAGAGCTATGGTTCCTCGGGGTATGGCTATGGCAGGAAGAACGAGGAGCAGAGCTATGGTGGTTCTGGTTATGGGTATGAGAAGAAGGCATCTGAGGAGGATGAAGGTGCCTATGGCTCTGGTGGTTACCGGAAGCCAAAACCTTATGGCGAGGAGACACAGGGATCATATGGTTATGGAGAGGAGCAGTCCAAGAATCAGAGTGGTGGGTATGAGAGGCCAAGCTATGGTGGGGGAGAGGGGTACTATGGCCGCAAGAAAGATGTAAGATCCTTTCTCTTTGGTTGAGATGTGTGAATGTGAATTCTTATAGTGGTTCAATAACCTCTTATCCTACTAATCCTTGAATAGGATGGCCTTTTGAGGTAGTCGATTGTTTAGCTAGTAGAGCTTGTGAATCTAAAAACCAAATCACACGGGCCTTTTAGGTGGTAAAAGATAGCTTGTAGATAAATGATGCTGATATAAATATAGGTTTTAGGTGCTGGGAGAAGTTTATCACTGTGTCAAAAGGTGTCAACAAGATATTAGGAGCATGCTCTATTAAGTTGATCCTATATGAACTTCTTGCCAGTGCTTTATATATATATATATATATATATATATATCTTTGTGTACATTTGATAATATGACTGTATTCAGCTCAACCTAAAATACTGTAGCTAAATGAATATCAATGATGGTTATTCATTTGGATTCAGTACTCTGTTGTAAGAATGCAACCTTGTGCTTGAGCTGTGGACTTAACATAATGTATAATGCATGGTTGTGTAATGCGGTTGTGTAATGCTCCCTCTGTTCCAAATTGTAAGACGTTGTGGCTTTTCTAGGTGCATAAGTTTTTCTATGTGCCTAGATTTACGCTATGTGTAGGTACATAGTAAAATCTATCTATGTATCTAAAAAGCCAAAACGTCTTACAATTTTGAATAGAGGGAATATATATTTTGTAAGGCATATATCTGGGCAGCACAAATAAGATCTGCAAATTTACATCACGTTTTGAACAAAGTTCAATCCACAGTACAAACTTGATATTTGGATATACTTTATTTGTTCACTTTGTTGGCAAAAGTAGTTTCTATGCTATTTCGTTAAGGAATTTTCTGTTTCTAGTGATTACATGAATTGCAGAAACACAATCCAAGTGCTAAAAATATAATAGCATATTTCTCTCCAATTGTAACCTTTTCTTGTTGCCACTTTGTAGGATGATGACTCGGATGATGAGAAGAAGCAGCGTCATCAGAAGCACCACCACCATCCCGCCACGACTACGATGATTAAGCACCAGCGCCTTCTGCTGGGTGTGTTTGCTACATAAATAAAGATGGGTGTACCTTCTGGACATTGGACCATCGTTGCGACGTTGCCTCCTCTGCATTGTTACTGCTCAGTCGTGAGTGTGCTGTGCGTTTTCTATGTTCAAATCGTGACCAAATAAGTACCGGTTGTATCCTTTGTGATGAACCATCGTCCACGCCTGTTGATGCCGAACCGAATGTCTGAATTCTACTTTGTACTTGTTCTTGTGGTGTTTCTTTCGGTGATCGGGACTTTGTGTGGCATCAGGCACCACTCTCATACATTTTCCTTTGCTGTTGCTATCATCTGCACTGTGTCTGTGTATGAGGACCATAAGTTGCACTTGCTGGGCGTGGTACGTATATAACGAAAAATATATGTTTATCGCCTTTCCTGTCAGTTCCGCCATCGAGTTCTATTTGGTCTGTTTTTTTTTGAAACGTTCTCTCGTGGCGGATAGATATCGCCATTTCTGCCAGCTACTCTGGTCGATAACTTCGACCGAACTAATCATCCCGTACATCCGCGTTCAACAGACGTTTGGTGCTCTTGAAGCAAAAAAAAAAAAAAAAAAACACGTTTGGTGCTCCAAATCTCTCCACCTGGGCCACTACAATCCAAGCGGGTGCCCCTGATATAACTGCAAAACGGGTGCCCCTGATGTAACACCGGTTGTTGGAGACCGTGTCACTATCAGCGATTTTCTTTTTATTTTTAACTTTTTTTAAAACAAATTTTAAATCTAACACAGTTGCTTTTTTATTTTCAAATATAAACCGTTTGGCCACGTCTAAGTCTATCGCACGTCTAAAACACGCTGCCACGCCACATACATCGGCGTTCTGCCACGTCGGACGGCGATTTCCACGTAAAAATCCTATCCGTTGGCGCGGCAGCACTGTAACACCACGCCAACCAGACTGGCGCGGTAAGGTGCAACCTTAGAAAAATTGTACCTCTTCATACGATCTCATATGAAGATGATTTATATATGAAAATTGTATCGCTCGACGAGATCTACACCTTTCTAGTTTTGAGTTTTTTTAATTTGAGGTCATTAAGATGCTCAAAAAAATTAAATAAAGTTTCAGCAGTATATTAATAGTGTACAAGTGCTTGTCGCCTTGGAAAAATCGTATCTCTCTTATATGGTGTCAAATAAAGATACTTTCTATATGAAAGTTGTAGCACTCGACGAGATCTACAACTTTCTAGTTTTGAGTTTTTTTAATTTAAGATCATTAAGATGTTTAAAAAAATTAAACAATATTTCAGCAGCATATTAATCGCGTACAAGTGCTTATCGCCTTAGAAAAATTGTATCTTTCTTATATGGTGTCAAATGATGATACTTTTTATATGAAAGTTGTAGCTCTTGATGAGATCTACTCCCTCCGTCTCAAAAGATATGTCGTTTTCGTTTTCCGAGAAACAATTTTGACAAAATATATATTAAAAATATTAATATTTAGGTACATAATTGGTGTAATTGGAAAGATCTTTGAATCTAGTTTTTTAATCAATTTATTTAGAGATACAAATGTTGCAAGCATATTTTTCAAATTGAGTCAAACTTGTGGCACGAAAACCAAAAGTGACAGATAATTTGGGACGGAGGGAGTACAACTTTATACCAGGGATGGAGATGCGGCGTTTCCCGCGTACGCGCGGGCGCACGTGAAACGAAGATGGTGACCAGGCGCGGGCGTGCGTCCAAACGTCCGAGCTCTAGTATCTCCGAAATAAAGTTCCAAGCTGGCCACTTCCACAAAAAAACAAAGTCAGTAGCAGGTGGAAGTAGCATAAGATATCGATGAAATCTTTTATAATTTCGATTAACTAACTTATTCAAATTATTAATGAATTTCCTTCTTAATGGAAGTTGCGCTCGCCTAAAGTGCGCCGCTCAAATTCTCCTCCATACATTTGGCTAGCTTTGGCACAAATACACTAGAGTATGCCGTGTTTTCCTTGGCACGCCGCAAGTAGGGCAGGAGCCAAACGTGTTGTGGCATACCGCAGCTGTGTTGCAGCGAGTTGCAGCAACGAGCCAAACAGGCCCTAGATACGAGATAGTAGGAACAAAAAGATTTGAAGTTTATTAGACGTCGCCAAATTTACAATTAACGATGGCCACTGTTAGTAATTTTTATCATCATCTTTGGATTAACCTTTTATACAAACTGAGGATAAAAATGTAAGTGAGATAGTAATAGTGTGTGTTGGGGGGAGCACCTTCGGCAAGCTGCTCCGGCGAACCCTCGGCTGTCAAGAGGGACCTTCGGTGGCTCTCAACGGAAGACCCCGAACAAGTAACAACCGTGGCGAAGGTTCTCCGACTAAGGCTGCCTTTATCCTATGCAATTGCAGGTCCATCGCCAGTCGTAGAGAGAAATCCCATTAAAGACAAGATCCTCGCAACGGTTGCTACCTAGTGGAAGAAAGTTAAATGGAAAAACTTAATTCGACACCGTACAAAAAAAGATAACGACCTCAAATGAAATAACTTAAAACTGCAAAGTTGTAAGTCTGGTTGGCGTGGCGCTACAGTGCTGCTGCGCCAATGGGAGTGGCGACGTAGCAGATCGTGCCGCACCGATGCATGTGGCACGGCAGCGTGTTTTGGCCGCGCCACGGACTTAGGTGCGGCCAAACGGGTGAGATTTGAAAATAAAAAAGCAATGGTGTTAGATTTAGAATTTGTTTTTTAAAAAAGGTTAAAAATAAAAAAATTCCCATCAGCTCACTAATGAGCAAAGTGATGTACTTTCTCTGTCCATGAAAACATGCAACTGCGGGTTGCGGGCAGAAAAAATAGTTCACGTTTGACTAAGTTTCTAGCGAATATTATTCATATTTATGGCTCCAAATCAATTTATTATAAAAATACATTTCATAATTAATCTAATAATATTTATTTGATATCATAAATATTGGTACAATTTTATCTATAATCGGTTAAACTTAAGATACTAAAATGTGACATTGTGCTAGAATTACATATTTTCCTGGATGGAGTGATTACCTCGGCAATGAGCAAAGTGATGTACGCTTCCCGTTGGGTGGTCAGTTATCTAGTTTTGCAAGTGAAGGTTTCGCTAGGAGTAAATCAATTTTTCCATAGATTCTCCAAGGGCAGATGAGCTAAACTTTGAGAGGTCTCAGCAAAAACAAAAGCTAAACTTTGAGAGATTGAGGGCATGCTTTGCTTTGTAGTTCTTGTGTTAAATTTGCAGGGATGATCCGAAACGGTTCATTTATTAACATTTTCTTTTTGCATTGCAGGTGAGCCCCTCTCCGCCATGCGCCTCCCCGGCGAGCCCCTCCTAGTACAACAATAAAGATGGGAGAAGAAAGAAAAAAAAGAAAAGGATAACACATGAAATTGACATAAGGGGTCACTTAAAAAAAGTAGGAGCTCAAAATTGAGAGTTGTTGCTAGAATTGACGTAAAATTTAAGGGCTGAAAAATAAGAAAAACTCTCAAATCCCAAGAGGGGTCCTGATTTAGGGCAATTGCTGGAGATGCTCAGTACTCCTGCTTGCCAATTAGATAAGAGTATTTTAAAAATACTATGAAATAGAAATACTTAATAACTGTAGAATAAAAACCAAAATACTCTTCTGCAGTTATTTTTAAGTATTTCTATTCCATAGTATTTTAGTGCCAGGTATTTGCAGGGACGATGCGAAACGGTTCGTTCATTGACATTTTCTTTTCACCAACATACTTTGTAAATTGTAATTGTGTTGGTATATTTTCCTCTGGCAATTTGATTTTACTAACCCTGTTTTTATATAGACCCTAGTAGGCTCTTACTCTAGTCCCTAAACCTATATTGCAAGGTCTAGATAATACACGCAATTCGACTCAAGCCTCCAAAGTATGGAGGCTTTTAATCCACCCGTTCCGGCTCTCGTCCCTAAGTGCCACGTATTTGCAGGGACGATCCGAAACGGTTCGTTCATTGTCATTTTCTTTTCACCAACATACTTTGTAAATTGTAATTGTGTTGGTATATTTTCCTCTGGCAATTTGATTTTACTAACCCCGTTTTTATATAGACCCTAGTAGGCTCTTACTCTAGTCCCTAAACCTATATTGGAAGGTCTAGATAATACACGCAATTCGACTCAAGCCTCCAAAGTATGGAGGCTTTTAATCCACCCGTTCCGGCTCTTGTCCCTAAGTGCCAGGTATTTGCAGGGACGATCCGAAACGGTTCATTCATTGACATTTTCTTTTCACCAACATACTTTGTAAATTGTAATTGTGTTGGTATATTTTCCTCTGGCAATTTGATTTTACCAACACTGTTTTTATATAGACCCTAGTAGGCTCTTACTCTAGTCCCTAAACCTATATTGGAAGGTCTAGATAATACACGTAATTCGACTCAAGCCTCCAAAGTAGGGAGGCTTTTAATCCACCCGTTCTGGCTCTTGTCCCTAGCGACCCCCCTGCCCCTCATCGTGTTGCACATCCCCGCAGCAAGTCCCTCTCCGCCATGTGCCTCCCCGGCAAGCCCCTCCCCGCACAACAATAGAAGATGGGAGAAGAAAAAAAAGGGAAATAAAACACATGAAATTGACATAAGGGTCACTTATAAAAAAATGTAGGAGCTCAAAATTGAGAGTTGTTGCTAGAGTCGGCGTATAAATTTAAGGGCTGAAAAATAAAAAAACTCTCAAATCCCAAGAGGGGTCCTGATTTAGGGCAATACTCCTGCCTTGCCTACTTTTGAGCAATGCGCAATAGTAACTAAGGTAAGCCACATATTTTAATATAAAAAAGTAATTCACATTTGTAGAATAAAAACCAAAAATACTCTTATGCAGTTACTTTGAAATATTTCTATTCCATAGTATTTTAAAGATAAAATAGGAAAGTGTCTTTCCAGAAACATGAAGTGCCAAGTATTTGTCTTCCAAAAACAAATAAATAAAGTCGTAAAAAATGCCAGCATTTAGAAATAGTAGTTCAGAAGTTTAACTGTATGTTTCTTTCTTTTTCATTAA